TATGTATATGTATATGTATGTGGTGTGTGTGTGTGTGCTTGTTGAGGCTTCCAGGGTTCTGGTCTTCTTTTTTAAGGTTTAGGGTTTATGGTTTAGGGTTTTTGGTCTCTTGGGTGATTAGGAAAGCACGTCACTTACCATGCATCCCTTCAGTGGTAAGTTGAACCAATCAAGTTCCACTAAGTTCCCTGAAACCCTAAACCCTAGGCCCTAACACGTCGAAGCCCTAAACCCTAAGCAACGTCTAAACCCCAAACCACCTACCAAGAACCCAAAGATGGCGAGTCTAAGAGATTGGGGGCCTACCGTAGTCTGCAGGAAGAGCTCGGGAGGTTCAGCCATCCCCCACTGAACCCTGAACCCCGGGCCCTACCCTAAGGGTCCATGTACCCAAATAGTATATACATTGGCCCTAAAGTACCTATATAGGGACTACATTAAGGACAATGTATATACTATTTGGGTACATGAACCCTGGGCCCCAGACCCTCAACCGCTTCGATTTCCAAGGGGTCGGCAAGTCTTAGTTCGCAGCATGCGGGGTTGAGGGCTTACAAGGGGCTCACCAGGGGCTTCATAGGGATCTTTCTGGGGTCTTCTCAGGGGCTTCTAGAATTGCTTATTGGGCGTTGACATGGATCTTAGAAAGGGTTCCTTTTTGGGGGCATTTCGGGCAACCTTCATACCCTAAACCCTAAATCCTAAATCCTAAACCCTAAGCCCTAAGCCCTAAACCCTAAACCCTAAACCCTGAACCCTAAATACGGCCTTGCTCATGGAGACTTTGGCCGCTGCTGGCTTCGCCTCTGCTCACAGGAGTTGCAATCGGCTTCACGAAGGCTCCAGGGAACTACTGTAGGGGCCTTAATGATTAGAATAGGGTTTTGGGGGGCCCATTATACTATAATGATAATAGGGAACCCCCAAAACCCTATTCTAATTATTAGGGCCCCTATATTACGGTAGGATCTGAGGTCATGTTACCCTATAAATGCTGCTCCTGAAGCCTGAACCTGAAAACCCTAAACCCTGAATTGTGACTGGTGGGAATTCTGTAGAACTGGTTGAACATCTTCTTCCTCGGCCATGCCAAGTCTGGGCACCCAACACCCGGAAACAGCTGATATAGAGGCCTGAATTCTCAATTACCGTCTGCCCTCATTGTGGGGGCTGTGTGGTATGCCCCGCGAAATCTTCTTCAAGTTGAGGACCAACCCTAAAAACCCGTACTAGACCTAAACCCTAAACCCTAGACCCTAAACCCTGGACCCTAAACCGACCCTACGTTGCCTTGGCCTTCGTCTTGGCTTTCGCCTTGGGGCCTGCGATCGCCGAGCCTCTGGATGCAGATTTCTACTTCTTAGGGCTTTGGGGTTTCTTAGGGTCTAGGGTTTAGGATTTAGTTTAGGGCTTAGGGGTAAAAGGGTGGGAAAAGTTTGGGCCTTCCGATACTGGGTGCTCTTGAGCCCCACGCTTTCCCCCCTACACCCTGAACCGCACACTGCACTCACCCAAGTCCCAAGGAGCCAAGAACTTGGGCCGGACTTGATTTTATTCGGGTTCCGGGTCAAAAAGAGCTCAGGTACAGGAGGAAGCTCTGCGTTCATGCTTGCGTCGAACCCATGCTGCATACCCATTGCATGCTCAAAATCTTTCTTCAGCGTGACGCAGAAGCAGCCGAAGCGAACCATGCCATGAAATCCGAAATTCGGGGTACACCGGAACCGGGCGACCACTTGGGAGTGGGTCGAATATCTACCCTAAACCCTAAACCCCTAGACCCTAGACCCCATTTCCTTTACCGAGCTGCCTGCGCTTGCCAGGGCTCCCTTGGCCCGCCTCTCGGGCGCAGCGGCCTCAGCCGCAGCGGCCTCAGCCGCGGCGACGCAGGCCTGGCAGAAGAGTCAAAGGGCTCCTTTAAGGGTCCGTTTGAAGGTGACTACGGACTTTTTTTAACGAGCTTGTGCACTCAAAGGCTGCTAAACGGTTTGTTATACAGGTTTCTAAACGGGCTACCCCCAAACCTTAAACCATAAGCGTTCCTCGAAGCAAGACTTTTCTGAGCCGCTCGGGGCCTTACGGATCCTTACATGGCAGGTTGAGGGCTGAGTGCTACAGAGATCTGAGTTTCAGGTGTGTGCTTGGGGTTTAGGTTTTGGGGTTCGGGGTTTGGGTTCTAGGGTTTGGGGCTTAGGGCCCATCAAGATCCGGAGTCCTTGAAGGTAGATGACCCTAAACCCGACACACTAAACCCTTGCAAGGCTCAGAGTTCGCTTCGGGCTGGCGGCTCCGCATTTGGGGTGTAGGGCTGGCTGGTGGGGGCTCGATGAGATCAGGGCCAGTGATTCCATAGTACTGAAGTCGGGATTTGTACGCCCAGGGCTTAGAGTTTGTAGGCAGGTAGTCGATAGGTGGGGTGAGGACGATACTAGCTGAGAAAATCTGAAGACGTGAATCCGAACCCGAAACTCAAACCTTAAACCATGCTCAAGTAAACCCTAGCCTCTAGACCCGCGCCTGACAGCGGATGACACCATCTGAGGTCGAGAAAGATGCCTGCACATTGGGAAGGTAATGTTATGTGGTCAAATATAAGCTCATGTACTAACGGCCATGTCATGTGATGCGCATGCAATGTCATCTATGGCCATCTATGGCCACATCATACGATGTGGTGAACTACGCAGTTAATTCGTGTTAATTATGCAGCTCCAATTATAGAGCTTCCATCTCTGGGCCGTGAGTGGCCCTCAATGGTTTGCCCTAATGTAGCGATGCTTATGGATGTAGATCAGTGGGTTTAGGGTTTAGGGTTTACTTCAAGCCTCTCTGCTCCGCCCACCTGCTCCTGGCTGGTATGTGACGTGGTGGAAGCCACAAGCATGGAGCTGTGAGTTCACTGATGCTCGCGCCAAATGCAACGAGCGGTCCGATGAACATTCAAGACACGGAGACAAATCATTTCGCACAGAACCACATGGTTTAGGGTCTACTGGAAGGGCCCTGCTGAGTAGAATAGGGTCTTGGTGTATATTATATGGTATTGTACTTCTATGGGGACTATAACGCAAAAAATGTTTGATCCGACCCCCATACGCTAAACGGTATGAACCCTAATACTGGGATTCAAGCTGGTGTGGCCCATGCCTTGCCGATGGACTTCTGGCAGGTGCTGCAGATCAGACACTCCAAGTGCAGCTTGCCAAGGGAACCTGAAGGGTACATCGCACGGTAAATCCTTCAAGGCTTCCCTGCGTGGCTCCTTTAAGGGCGCTTTTGAGGGCTTCTAGGGCTCCCAAAGAAATACTTTAAGTTTTATCGTGAAACCTGATCGGTACCCTTTATGGCTTTGGCCTCTGGGAGAGCCAGGCGGCCAGGCTTACGGCTCTCAGGCCTGAATAAACGTACTAGAGAAGCCTAAATCATTCCCAATAGTATTCCTTGGTAAGACCCCTGCAATATCGGGGCTTCTCTCCTGCTATATCATAGAACACGAGATGGTCTTCTCCCAGCTTCCTATAGCTGTATTCCGTGACTTGAAGATGCTCAGGGAAGCTAGAAGTAGATGCAGAGTTCCTGGATTCTAGGCATCTCGGAGTTCATAATCGAGCCTTGAGAGTTTGGCTCCGGGACGGGCACGAGGTTAGTAAATTCGTAGATTTCTAAACCAGGATTCTTTTGGGGTGGTCCTTTTTTATGAGGGTGCCGTATTATTTTATTATTTTGGGGAAGGGCCCCTAATTTGGAGAACTACCCAAATTCAAGGAAAGCGTCAGCAAATTCACGGAGGAACCAGGTCAGAACAGAGACAAACTGCATGTTTTGGCTAGCTGCAAGCACAAGCGGTGGCTAAGTCGCCCTGTCCGGTCCTAAACCTGCCACTCTCCAGAAGCTAGAAGTGAGGGGCACAAACTCTTAACAAAGGATCTAAAGCGATTTGGCAGAACACGACTGCCGAAATGAACACGTCTAAAGCCGTTTGGAAGAGCCAAACCGCATCACGCCCCAACTGCGGGAATCGAAACGAAACCCAACTCAAAGCTTCACGGCTCGGTCAAGGCGCAAGACACCATGGTGCCCATGATGACTTTGCCACATGCCTCACCCGTGCTACCCTAGGTCCAAAGCCTCATTGCCGGGTGTCCTCGATTTTGTTTTATCTTTATCTTTATTTTTTTTTGCTTTTTTTTTCTGGGGGGGGGGTCCTAAATCCTTAACAATCCATAACCCCAAAGCTAACCCCTAAACCCTACACCCTGAACCCCAAACCTCGAAACCCCAAACCTAAACCCCGACTCGGGAGCCCTGATCCCTAAACCCTAATCGGTCGCAACGGTTCGGAAGGGTCCTTCGTAATCTCAACCGTGAAACAAAGACACAGTTGCATACCTCGGTTTTCGCATACCTTGCCGCTGCCGCTGCCTCAAAGCCCTTTCTCTTGGAATTGTTGGGAGATTGGTCGACAATTAAAGAAACGCCCGCTTGGGCTGGACAAAACACAGCCGAAGTCGACAATGTAGGGGCCGTCATACGTATGGTCGTATATGAACGTATCAATACATACAGGGGCGAAAAGGAGGAAGAGTTACCGGATTCTTCGGATTTCGGCATTTGCTCCGAGCCCGGCTGAAGCACCAAAAATCTCAGTTTTTCGAAGACTACGAATATTGAGCCTCTCCAGAGCAACACAAAGTCTGGGCTAAACCCCAAGACCCTAAACAACCCTAAACCAACCCCAGGCTGTGGATAAGGCTGCACCTTGCATTTCTCACCAAACTTCTCGTAGAAGCAGGTCTTGCAGTAGAGCGCCTTGTCTTGAACCTGTCCGGTCGCTTGCAACCGGGGGCTTGGTGCTTATGACATAGGAAGGATTCCAGACACGACAAGCAGTGGCAGAGCCACAGCTTCCCTTCTCCTCAAGCTCAAGAGCCTTACGCCCCAACTGATGTCTCGAAGCCCCCCCCCCCCGGAAGCTCCGATTGGATTGGTACCCTCCTTTAGATTCCTGGAAATCTTCGCGATGGAAGGTCTCGAGTTTATGCCACAGCAAGCCCGAACTCTGGCGCCTTGTAGGGCACCCCGGCAAGGGCACAGCCGCAGCCGGCGTTGCTGCACTTGAAGCCTCGCTGGTGGGCGTAGGATTTTCAGGTGGGCTTAGGTTTTTCAGGGCTTTAAGGCTTGGGGTGTAGGGTTTCGGTAGTAGGGTTTAGGCCTGGGAGCTCGTGGAATGAAAATCAGACCAGTGCAACAACTGAGCCCTACAGAGTGGGCCCTACAGCTCTTCACCTGAAGCATACAAAAGCATCATCCCGAACTTACATGTCGAAATCGGAAATACCCACGGCGCCAAACATCAAATCAGAAGACTCCATGTCAAAGCCGCCCGCCGAAACCGATGGGAAAAGGTGAGACAGAATTGTCACAAGGCGACCCGGAAGAGCTCCTGGTGAGGACTTCAGACATGAAGTTTCTGAATTTGGGTGGTTTGGGGTGATGACGGCAGTGCTATTTGTCAGGACTCTCCGAAGAAACAATGCGCAGCATCCTACCAAGATGTGGCTTCCACGAACACCGAATCTATGAAGCCAGGAGTCCATCCTCCAAAACTGAGGAAAACCCTAAACCCTAAACACCAAAGCCCATGATTCCCAGCCAGGCCACAAGCCGCGTGCAGCTTGCCCAGCTCGGCAAGTTCCGTGACCTCCGTACAAGCAGATGAAGCCTTTGGGTTGGAGGGCTAAGGGGGACTTATGTAAATAATCCCTAAACCCTGAACCCTTATCCCTAAACCGTGGTAAGCTTGCCGACCCAAGTGTTTAGAGACTTCAGAGCTTCCGAGTCTAGGCCCCTAAACCCTAAACCCTGACACTACACAAAAATGCAGATCTCGCAGAACCTCTCTACTAGAGAATCCCACCTTGCCGCCCTTGATCGGCTCCCGGCAGACGGGGCAACTCCTCGATGCGGCAAAGGCGACTGCAGAGTAGGGCATGCGTGTGCACGAAATTACGTACAGCTAAACCCTAAACCCTAAACCTCTTAGCTCTATGTCACGATTCTAAGCCAAGTTGGCAACCATCATGCTCAGTCTATCGATGCCCCTGAGCCTCAGAGCCACAAGCATCTTGACAACAGCAACTGTAGCAACTGTCGTCACACAAGGTATACTTGCTGACATGCTGTGCTTAGAGACTGGAAGTTCAACCATTAGGCGTTGGATGCTGGGACTACAGTCGTACTAGTGTATTCTGATTACAAATTAAGAGTTTAGACTTAGCGGGCTCAACGACAAGCGCAAGAAGGCAAACAGATCCAAAGCCAAGCCGCCCCAGGCTCCAAGCAGTCTCTGCCTGCTCTATAGGATAGTTTGGGGCTTTAGGGCTTGGGATTCCAAGGGTGGGGCTTCGGCGGTTAGGATCTCGGGCTTAGGCTTCAAGAATTTAGGGTCTTTTGTGCCTTATAAGGCTTGAGGCTCTAGGGGTTTAAGTTTAGGGCCTCGGGGTTTAGGCGTTAGGGTCAAAGGATTCCGGAGGTAGTGTCGTGCAGGGCCTGAGAGTTTTCAGTCAAAACCTTGAACTGCCACGCTCTGTGGTGGTTTAGGGTGTAGGGTTTAGGGCTTAGGGTTTAGGGTTTAGGGAAGTACTGGTATTTGTCTAGACGCACAGTCGCTGAGCGCACACTACGAAGACGAGTGCTGGTTACTGGCCGCAGGGGCCGTCGGAGTGGTAGCGTAGCAGCTGAGCAGGTACGAGTGTGACAGCAACAAGCACAGCTATTGCAGCAGTTGTCCCAACAGCATCAAAAGTAAAAGAGATAACGCAATCACTTTTCTACACAAAAAACAATAATGACATCCATCCGCATACAATACAAGAAGCTAAGAGCCAGCTTCACACTCAAGTTCAAGGCTTGCTCGGCATGCCAAGGTGTTCGCACGGAAGAGCTTGCCTTCGCCTTGGCAGCTTCCATGACCTCAGGGACATGACGCTGCTTGAGACCCTAAACTCCTAAACTCTAAACCCTAAACCTAAACTCTAAACCCGAAGCCAAGTGCGGAGACTGCAGGAAATTCCCACGTCAAGGGTCCCCCCCCTGAAAGCTGAAGCATCCGCAAAGCCTTCCTAAAGCTGACGGCTCGAATTCATGCTGGACTCGGCTTCTGGCTAGGAGTCCTAAACCCTAAACCCTAAACCTGAAGACTTGAGTCCTTAGAGCTTTTCCGGACTCGGCTTCTGGTTTAGAGTGAAAGAAAAAAGAAGTATTGATCCCAAAAAGACCAGAGAAAGCCCCAGCGCCGACAGGCCTCGAAGGATCCCTTTGACCACTTAGTGGTTATGATCACTTGGCTTTCACGAATTATTGCCATAATATGAATACTGTTAGATTATGATTACTCGCCTTAGTCTTATTCTTGCTATTATTAGTATGAATATTATATTATTGTTGCCTGAACCGAGAGACCTGTTCAAAGCTTTGCAGAAGGGGACCGAATACACTCCCACTCCGCTGAGAATGCAAAAAAGTTGGCAGGGCAATAGCATACTGTAAGCTGCTGCACAAGCTGTGGATTGCAAGGGAACGGACTTCAGTCCGGTGTTGCCGCCAAACCCCCGCTGAAATCAATCAACCCTAAACCCTAACTCCAGCCTCTAAACCCTAAACTCTAATCCCTAAATCCTAAACCCTAAGCCCCGAAACTCCTAAACCTTAAACCCCCGCAGAAAGCCCCCGAGGCTCACCGAAACGTGAAATCCCGAGCTCCAACGCGCGGCTCCGCTGTTCTGAAGCTGCGGATTTAGGGTTTAGGGTTTAGGGCCAAGTTTAGGGTTTAGTATCTAGGGTTTAGGGTTTCGGATTTAGGGTTTAGGGTTAGGGTTTCGGGTTTTGTGCTTAGGGTTTCGGATTTAGGGTTTAGGGTTTACGACGCCCGAAACGAACCTTCGCGAAAGCGGACGCAAGCCTCCAGACCCTATCCTCGAGCCATTCAGCGTTCCTTTATAGTGTTAATATAATTCCAAAACCTGTTTTATATTGTCCTGAGTGTTCCTTAATATAGCACTACTATAGTGTGGTCCAAAACCTTCGTTATACAAGCTTCCGTAACAGTAGAGATGTGTAAAAATCCCCCTGCCCCTACGTACGGTTGATGATACAAATCCTGCATTACCCATGATAAGGAATATACCATAATTCCCATAGCTAAGGTCATGCAGGATTTCGAGTTTTGGCCCTCCACCTCGGGGCTGATTCGATGAGGCCCGGCTTTCCGTCGATCACCTGAGATGGAAGGAGCCTTCGGCCTCCAGAGCTCCCAAAGCTTGGGGGGTTCGCTGCTTAGGGTTGAAGGCGGCTGAGGGTTTTGGGTTTAGGGTGTAGGGCTTGGGGTTTAGGGTTTAGGGTTTAGGGTTTAGGGTTTAGGGTTCAACATTTGGTGCTTTTGGGAGGCGTAGATTAGTAAAGCATTGTGGGTGTATACTGCAAGCTGCAGAAAAGAAAAACACGCAGGAAGACTGGACCAGAATCCCCTCATGGAACGCCGACAGCCCCTATCACAGGAACCCCTTACTGGGACCCTTGTTGTGGAACCCGCTCTTACTCTGGGAAGCTCTGTGAACCCCTACAGAAAATCAGCGTGCCGACGCAGAAGCTCATGGCCGCCTCATCTGGCTCCCATCCTCGCGCGAACTCCAGAGCGGCCATGCGGCCGAAGGTACCTCAATCTGAGCCCTAAACGGTCTAAACCGAAACCCTAAACCCGTACCCCTAAACCTTGAACCCTAAACCTTGCTATGAACCCTAAATATACAAATGTGGGTTAGGCTTGGGTTTAAGGTTCAGGGCTTAGGGATGTTCCGAGTCAGGTCTTTAGGGTTTTAAAGGTCAGGGGCCCACCCCGAAGCCCTAAAGGCCCTGAAGGCCGTATAGCCCCAATCCATATAAACCAAAGCAGCGAAGCGCCGTATACCTCCCAGGACAACTGAAGGCGTAGGGGCCCGGAACCTCATCGGCCGAAAGCCGAAACATGGGCAATGCTTGAAGCCACTGAAGCCTCAAGCCCCCCCCCCCGTAACCCTAACCCTAAACCCTAAACCCTAAAGCACTAAGCCCTGAAACAATAAAAACACAAAAAAACCTCTGAACTCCAACCCCGAAGGGAGCCCCAAACGTTCGTTCCCTGCAAACACTGGTCTTCCCAAGTTGCTTTTTAGGGGGGGTGTTTGCATGTTTTTGAAAAAGCGCTCGACCGCGCTCACCAACCCAAGCACGCGAGACCGCAGTTCGAAACGAGGACTCCGAACCGAAACCACCCAAAAACCCATCCACCCCAAAGAAATCGAACGGCCCAAGGAACTCTTCGGAGATGCCAAGCAGAACCCTGCGAGCCCTGGCCTTCAGTCTCAGAGCTCGCCTTTCCCCACCAAACCATCCCTTCAACCCTCAAGTGACCAGGAAACCTCCCAAGTTTGCGCAGAAAAACGGCACAGCACCAAGACCGAGGTAGGGTTCAGGGGATGAAAAATTTGCTGTGCATAGGATCAGAGCACATGCCCGAAAAACGGACTTCGACCAGATTAAGGGAGCCGCTCATCCTGGAGCCCCAGAGCCGAACTCGGATCTCCCAGCCCAAGGTCTCAAAGCTTTTCCTGAATCCCGAAATCGCCGCTGGTGCATCCATAGCCCTCCCTAAAAACTTGAACCCTCGCACTGTGGACCAAGCAGTCCCGAGCATGTCACAGGTCGAGATGCAGTGCGAACCATATGATACGCCGACCTAAGGGGAGACGATCTGGGTTGTCCAGTATCCTAAGGGAAACTAAAGG